CCCCCCCCCCTCCCACTTTTGCTGAAAATGTCAGGCCAGAATGGTGATAATCCTCCCCTCCCCCACTTGATCCACACCACCTATCAGTATTAAGCTCCAGGGTGGGGGAGGGCTACCTGTGGGTAATTGACTTGGCGAGCCTCCCCCTGAGTAGTGAGAACTGTCTTTGACAAAATACGCTACCAAGTGGACAGAAATGTGATATTTACAAGGTGCCTGAAGGTGGGAAATTTGAGTCTGGCATCTTGAAAATGTCGAATTCCCCTGGGTCTGCAAGCCCCTCCCTACTCCTGGGCTTAGTTGAGGCAGACTTTCAGCTCCAGCCCCAGGACTCCAGCTATTCTTTTTTAAGTATGAAAATTGTAGAACAGCGTCTTCAACCCCCAAGACCCGATATACAACTAAAAAATGGTTAAAAATCAACCTTATTTTGATATACGTTAGCTTATTACAGTAGTCCTGTCGACGCTAGCTTCGTCAATGCACCATGGACAGCAACATCAGTACAGTCACGGTAGCTTCTGATTTGAATGCATCCTTGAAACATTCTAACAAATAACCGAATCTGACGATGACTTGAACAAGTTTTTCTTGCATAAGGGTCTTTAACGGACAGATTTCGCTATCGTGAACAGAATACAAAGCTTTCGAATTTCATAATCACAGAGGCTAGTCGGGCCAGCGCCAGCAGCGCAGAGGACAAAAGAGTAGCAAAGTCCAACTCGTCCTGGACTGGGGCTTACCATTCTTTTCTATTCGATGATCTGATTGGGTAATCCAAAATGAGCGCCATTTTGGATTTTTCTGGTGCAGTTTGGTGAAGCTTGAGGTAAACAAAATGATTACGATGAAAATATGTGATTTGTGGCTGTCGTGACTGTGATGGCAACGCGCAGTGTGTTTGTTTTGGCTACTGTCGTGTCTATTCGTGACAAATTCTGCTATCCTTGTTGCACTCGATGTCACAAGAAAGTTCATACAAGAGAAGACGATGTAACGTGAGTATAAAAGCTTGTATTTCTTACAGCTGTTCTTAACAAGATGGAAGAGTTTTTAAGATCCATGTAGTAACTGGCTGTTGAGTGGCAAGAATTTACGGAGAAATCGAAGTGGGCGACTGAGATCTTGAGGTTGGAGTTTTACGGTTTTGGACCACTGTTTTCTCCTGTATAATAATTAAGTTTTGCTTACTGAATTTCAATCTCTTGAATGTACGTGTCTTGTGCATTATGCCCGGGGTATCCAATCGATGGAAACCAATGATCGGAAATTCAATCGATCAATCGATATCAATCGATAAAATTAGTTAATTGGTATCGATTGGTATCGGCCAATCAATGACAAATCGATAACCACACAAAAACTGTTCATTGATTGCTATCAATTGGCTCAGCAACCTCAAACAGATGTCACGCATGCTACCACTCCGATCATCCGCCATTTTAGGAAGCCCTGGGGACAAAATTGGTAAAACATTTCCGCCCCAGTCTTCTCAACGCAAAGAATATACCCAGTTGCACGAGTACTCGAATTACCCACTTGCCCATCATTGCCTTTCCATGTCATAATGTCTATGCAAGACATCCAGGTAGAGGCTTTACTGAATATAAGGTGCATCGTCAAAGGCTATCATCTTTGCCGTTTTGAGGTGAACGTTGGTGAAGTGTTAACTGCAAACAAGAAGAGGGAGGAACGAGGAAATGCGTTTAAAGTTGTGAACCAGCGTGGACAGCTCGGCCACCTACAGTCCGAGCTTGTGGATCCTCTTTGGCCACTACATGCAGATATTTCTATGTTGTTCTCCCGTTAACATTAAAATGAAATGTGTTTACAAT